TTTCATATTTTCATTTAATTCTAATAAATTAAAATCATTTTTTATACAATATGCCCGAGTCTTTTAAGATCTATCTTAACCTTTATTAATATAAGTTGAATCTACTACATGTACTCTCCTAATTGTATAATCAGATGGTCGACGTTTAATGTGACCAAACCATCTAAGATGACTCTATCTAATCTTGTCTGCCACTGGAGCTACACCAACCCTTTCACCGATACATTCATTTCGCATTTTGTCTCCAAGATTCACTGTAAGCATTCTCATCTTAGCAACATTTAACTTAGTTTTACGCTTATCTTTTATAGGCCAACAGTTTGCGCCATAAAGCATTGCATGTCTCACCACCACCTTATCAAATATTCCACTTAACTTTAAGTTGTACTTTTCTATCAATATGCCCAATGCATTCCTCCACTTCAAATATCCAGCATAAATTCTACTAATAACATCCCCATCTATATCACCATCACTTTGACAAATAAACTCAAGATAACTAAAACTTTCACTCCTTTTAATAATTTGATCACCATTGTTATAACTTTGCTACAAGATTTACTACTACTATTATTATATTATATTCATTCAATTTTACATCTACTCAAAAAAAAAAAAAACCTTTACACTCTAATGTAAACTGGGGTGTCAATTCGGGTTAACCCAAGCTTGACCCACTAATCCGAACCCGACCCAAAATTTCATACTTATTCATGTCGTGTTTCGGTTTTTAGGTTCAAATTGAACTCGACTTGAATAATAAACATTTCAAATTCTTTGACCTGAACCTGACTCGACAGGTCAACTCTAACCTGAATTTCTGGAGTCGAGTTCGAGTTGGGTTGGTGTGTCGGACCAATTTTTGACACCCCTAATTTAGAACTTCATAATTCAAGTTTATCCTGAATTCCTCCTCTAGTCTTATCCACAAGCAATATATCATTAGCGAAAAGTATACAACAAAGTACGTCTTCCTGTAAATGTCTAGTAAGTGCATTCATAACTAAAGTAAAAAGATATGAGCTTAAAGCCGATCTCTGATGTAATCTAACTAAAGGAGGAAAATACTTGGTCATTTCTTTCCTTGCTCGAACACAAGTAATTGCTTTAGTATACATATCTCTAATGACTTGAATATGAACCATTTCAACACCTTTTTTTTCGAGAACTCTCCAAAGAACTTATCTTAGAAACTTATCGTGAAATTTTTCTAAAACAATAAAATTCATATGGGCTAAATTAAACACAATAGATAGTTAATACTAAAATAACCTCATACAAATAAACCATCAGTTACACCTTTTCTATTTTCCTATTTAAGTAAGTTGCTTTTGTCGGTTTATTCAGTTGATTTGCCCTTGTCAGGGGACGTGTGACTTTTTAGATTATTGTTTCTTTTTTTCTCATGACTGAAGCTGGAATCAATTGGATTGGAAGCTTGCTAAGAGGGATGGAATATGATAGTGCAAATGTAAGAACTTGCAATTTTATGTTAGAGCTACCTCTTTTTGGTTCCTTTTGCTATAAATAAAGACTTTTGATGCATGCATAAAATCTTAGTTGGTTTAAGAAAATATAAGTTTCCTCTTTAATCTGTTTGTGAAAGTTGGATGTGAATGTTGAGTATAGTGCAAGCCTTGACAATTAATTTTGTGATAAGCTTTTTCTTTATAATATTGGCGTGAGGTTTGTTTTAGCACTTGAGAGATTCCTCTTCTTTATATTTTATTTTTTATCTTTGTTATTTGTTTTATGTGATTGAGAATTGGTCAATTTTGTTTATATATATATTTATTTATTTATAAAAAGAGCAACTCGTGCCTCTTTTAAAAACCCAAGGGTTGATTTTATTTAAATAAAAAAATACATAATGGTTGTATGAGAGGGTCCAATAGAGGCACCCTACTCATACGATACCAAGTACAGTACTATCCCAACAAAAAGATATAGATAGACTCAAAATAATTTTAAAACATGCAGTAAACAAGTAACTAGGGATGAGCCAGTTTAGTCCTGCCTCTTCCTCTAATTTTAGGTGCAGAGCCAGATAACAAACTTTGAAGTGTTGTGCTAATGCTAGGAGTAACCAAAGTATCATCCATTAAGTTTCCAAGTCGGAGTGTGCCCCCAACCTTCTTCTTTCACCGAGAAGTGTAAACCTGCCATTCTTTATCTGAAGACTTGCTCATGTGATCCTCGATCGGATTAGATATTAGAGTTGCAGTAGAAGGAATGACAGTCGTTGCCACAGCAATAGGTTCCCGTGTATGTGAAGTGTGAATTATCGCCTCTGCACCTGATGTTTCCTGAATAGGAGCTGCGGGTTATCCTGACTTTCGGTCCGAATATTATCCCTTATAGTATGGTCAGGAGAAGGGTTCCCACGAGCAGACACCATTTCCTGTCTTGTGGTGATTCCCTCCTCAGGTTGGCTGTCATCAGGTTTGTTGAGAGCGCGTTCAGACACGTGGTGTGCACTAACAACATGCTCCTGCTTTTGACTATTGACTCTCAACTGCGGATGTAATCTGGAACGTTTCTTTTGAGGGTGTCCAAACATCTTGCAGTGCTTGCAGTAGTAAGGTTTTTGTTCCACAATGATTTTTTTTGCCAATAACCATTGTGAGAAGAGCCAAACCAGACTTCTTCTACATCTGGTAGTGAAATATCCTTTCAATCAAAATCCTTGCAATAGAGGGCCTTGAGAAATGAACTGTAGGTGTGTCTACCTGCAAAGGTTTTCCAAGGATAGTCCCAATTGAATATAAGCTAGGTAGGTCAAAGAATTGAAGCTTGAGTTTAGGTAATGAGAACCAGATAGGCGCAATTGGGGGTTCTTGACTGGGATCAAAATCACTGGTTCATTTGAGCAATTTCATATGATTGTCTTCGATTGTGATGAATTTCTATGAGAAAATCCTTATATAATCTTCTTTTTTGCTCAGCTGTATCATAACATATCGTCCTTCGAAAATACCCACCTGCCAGGCCCCAACTAGTTTAAAATCTTCAAAAACCTTCCTGATAATATACATCTTAGGGCGACCTAATTGAAACCTTCCAACTAGTAAAAGTTTGTATTTTTCTGCACTGGTCAAAATTTCAGCGTCGGAGAAGAAAAGCGCTGGTTTACTTTTTTTTTTCTCAACTTTTTTGATGAGATTGCAATCTCCATGTCCTGCAACTGAGTCATGGTACAACTGCAGGTACAACTGCTGCGTCATCAGAGGGTTTGGCGGGATTATCACCAGCGAGGACGACGACGTAGGAAAGCCCTGAGGTCATTATCGTGCTTCAAAGAAGCACAACAGAATGCAACTAACGGGATGCGAGACGGAGCAGGCGTGAAAATTCCGTCCGTCTTCAAGCACGACGAACGGGACGCGAGAACAAAGCAGACGTGAAAATGCCGTCCGTCTTCAAGTAACAAAATAAGAAAATAAAAAACATAAATTAAAAGTAAGCCCAAACCGGCCCTAAGCAAATAATGGTAGCAAATGTATTAGAACAAGTTTTCAAAGGCTAGATTAGCCTGAGTGAATCGTAATCAATCTTTGATTTCTTACGATCTTAGATTTACTTATAAATTTTAGATTTTGATGGATTTTAAATTATTTTTTGAAGCTAGGTTTATTAATTTCTTGTTTAGTATTAAACGAGGCTAGCTATGTCTACATTAAGAGGTTGTGGACTATGAATATTGATATTTTGTACATCAAAATTCTAGGTTGCATTAGTAAATTCTAGATTCTATGAGGTCCCGCATAAGGTGTGACGGAAACATTTAATGATTAAAAATTATAGACATACACTTAATATAAATGTAAATTTGAAATCCCAAACACAACATAACAATGTTCCAGCATAGTTTATTGTAATGTAATGATATACATGCTAACCTGAAGTTGCTGTTGGACTGTAGCATAGTTTCCAGGTTGCACCAATAAAAGTTGATTCCAGCATCTATTTTTGTGCATCCTATAACTACTAATGAGTAATCATGTTTGGGTTGATTATGTTGGAAAGCCTTGGCCTTTTGGTGTTGTTAGTCTCTATAGGAATGTCAATTGTCTTTTTGGCTTGAAAAATTCTGTAGTTTACTAAGTGAAATTTGAGCATTTACTTGTGGGGTATTTTATTTAATCTTTAATTCGGATGTCTGAAATTTGAATATTAGCAAACATGAAATATTGTTATTTTACAACGATTTGAAAAACTATCTGCATACTTTATTTTCTCCCATACATTTTTACTGTGTAAACATAATCTCTTAGAGATCAAAACAATGAGGCATTCATCAGTTCCATCACATACGTTCTATGTTATGCATTATTTGTGTAAATAAAATCGTTAGTCTCAACATTGAGCAGGTACTGTTGTAAATGTCCTATAATTGAAGATTCTGCCATTTAATTGACCATTAAATTTGATATAAATAATTTAAATTTAATTATCTTTCAAGTTGGTAAAATCAAATCAATTTAAATTATCACATCTTATGCTTGGGTTGACCTTATTAAATAGGATTCAGTTCACTATTTGCTGATGGTATTGTCTTTCAAAACTATAATTAGTGAGCTGTACCTTAGATATATTCTTGCAATATAATTTTCAACAAGAGTTTGTTGTTTGGGAGATGAAGTTAGTCATAAATGAACTCGAATAAGTTTTGTTATCTACTTCAATTTGAATTTTGATTCTAATATATAGTCTGCCATATGATAGCTTATCACCTTTCTTTAGATACTAATTTAATAACCACTTTCTCACATTTTTAGTTATCACTGCTAGGCTAGGTTTGGTGCATTAAAAACTGTGGTTAAATATTGGCAGCATGCATTTTATATATCTACTCAAACTTCAGCTTTCTTGTGCATCTCATTATAGACGTTGCATATGTGAAATGAAATTCCTATATCCGTTAGTTTCTTGAATATTTTTTTTTGAAGATGATTTGAAATAATGAAGAAAATCATTTCATTTTTTTTATTGCTTTACAGATACCTGTAAATTCAGTTCAATCTTATGGTGATTTGAGAACTGTCTTGATGAAAAGAATATTTTTATCAGCTCTGCATTTTAGGATAAACACCAGATACAAGGTAATTTATTTTTTCGCTCTTTTTTTTTTTTTTTTTTTTTTTTTTTTTGATGATGTAGGACGATTTTCTTGAATATTATTTACTCATTGCTATTTTATTCTTCTCCAGTATCTTGAATGCTTGCAGCTTGCACGTTGCTTGAACAATTTTGGAAATTTTCTAGGTCCATGAAACAGCAAACTAACAGTTTTACAAGAGTATCTGAATATACATTACAATTACATGTTGACAAGTGTGACCTGAATCTTTAGCTGCCAACTACCATGAAAAGAAGAAATGACGTATAATCATATGCCATGGATCATAATTTAAGTTGAACTGTTGTTTGATAGAAATATGGCAAGGGCAATGATTGTAACCTTTTAAGCTAACAAAGTCCTGCACTGGTCATATTTCTCGCTTATAAACGATATTCATTGTTATTTGAGATGCTAAATGTCAGCAGACCTTTAAAATATATAATGGCGACCAAAGTGCATTATGGTGATTCATTTTACAATACAACTCTAATCTTATTTACTATTTTTTTCCCCTAAATTATGCATAATGGATGAAATTTAAGTTATTCCAACAGAACGCTCACGAATGGATAAACAAATTATGTTGATTTTTTATGATTTAATCTAATAGATAAAAGTTGAAGAATGCTGCTATAGCTAAACATGTAGCCCTTCCAATACCATAAAAATAATAATGCCCAACAAAACCTGAAATGTTATTATGAAGTAGAGATCCAAAATTTGTTGGGATGCAGCTCCCAAAGAAAGAGAAAAAGAGCGAGAGCTAGAGAGGGAAGGATGGAAAACAAAAAGGCCCAACATTAGAATTTTGCTGGCACCCGAAAACCTAAAACAGTGACGTTCAATAATGGTCCCGTCATTGAGGTACTGACACTCCTAACTTATGACCTATATTCTTTGATGACATGAATGGACCGCCCAAACTTGTGGTAGAAATGGAAGGGTGTGATATACCCTGACAATTCAAGTGGTATTTACACTTGAAGGCTAAAGGTAAATGTGAGTGGTTAGATATGTTTCGGCCGCTCTAAACTCATACAAGTATGCACATATAACTTTAATAATATGATAATATGTATGGGTCGAGCAATCATGGTGTGCTTAATATGACTCAAGCAATTGAATATGATACATATGATGCTGTTTGGGACATAACCTCATGCATATGACATGGCATCCTATTATCTCTAGATTTGTATTGAAAAGTCAATATGCTATTCGGAATAATTAAATGAAAAGCAATACTATTAATTAGATTGATGCCTTGATGATGCATTAACAGAAAATTCTTAAATTATATTCTTAGAATTGCATGAAAATCAACCATTATTAGTCTTGGTTGCAGCATTTCAAATGCATATATTTTTTTTAATCTTAGAAGAAACCAGCATGCTTGAAATATCTGTTATTAAGGTAACATTTGAAATGTCATCCTCTATCCTGAATTTAATTTAAAATTGGATTTTTTACCAGGAAGGAGCTAGGAAAATGAAAATGGAAAGCTTTCTTAGCTGTAGATATAGATTAACATTGCCAGAGTTTGGCTTTACCCAAAATAAAAAATATTATATTCTTGTGGCTAGAATCTAACTTTTATTCATCAAGTTGAATAGGTTTGGTCCAATTCTTAATCAGTCTGAAATGTGTTTTTGGTTGAGTCATAATTGTCTGTTATTCTATATATAAAAATATGTTTATAATATATTATATGTAGCACTATATTCCCATAATATATTTATACTTAATATGAAATGTATATACATACATACATACATTCATCTCATATATACATAAATACATTTCATGTTAAATTTAACCATAATTAAGTGATCCAATATCATTTCTTGCTTGCTCCTACACACCGAAAGGGGAATATACAACACATGACACTCGAAAACCTGAAGTAGCAATGAACACGACATAAATATTCTTAGTAGGGTGGATTTCGGGGTGATGGTGGTGATTGACGAGGGTTTGACCCTTCAACGAGGTAGCAAATAGTGGATGAAAACTGGACGTCGCCGCGACAACAAAGGATGTGAACGGTGGCAACGAAGGGGAGGAGCTGCAGCAAGAGGATCAAGCTTGAAGGAGAGAAATGGATGGCTGGGCGGCTGGAACAACAAAAAACAATAGGAAAAGGCTGTTTATGGGCGGTTGCAGCGAGGGGGACCATTGGCGGGAGCGATGGGAGAAGCGAGGAACTGTAGGACAATAAGAGGACGGTTGTCCGGGATGATGGCAACGAGGACAGGTGGTTAGATTGAGAAAACTGTAGGGAATATATTAAGGTGTGGTTGTTTGGGGAGGACGTGGGTAGGGCGTGAAAGTGTTAGGAAAAACTACTGCAAAAGGGTCACCTTTTAAGCTTTTTGCGGAATAGAATCACAGGATTCAAAAAAACCAGAACAAAAAATTAAAACAGGAGCACAATCAAAGCAACTAGAAAAACACTTAAGAATTTTAGTAGAAAATCCGAAAACGAAAAAAAAATCACGGAGCCACATCATAAAAAATTTTTACTATAAAATTTAGATTGTTTAACAAAGAACAAACACAAGTTTTCTCTCCACACAGAAAATTTACAGGACTCGCTCTACAGTCTTTTTTCTCCGATCCAATGCAAAAATCATGCCGAAAGAAGATAATAAGCTCTATGATCCATGCTAAAAATTTGGCTTAAAAATCAATTTTTTGTGTAGTAAACGCACTGGGAGCTTAGACACCTAAGTGCCAAGTGCTCTATATCAGCACCCTATGATGTGCGCCTAGGTGCCAATAGACTTGTGAGTGCTTAGGTGCCAATCTCTCAGGACTAAGAGCAACGCCTGTTCTATAGTTGGCACATATGCAGCCAAAGGCTGCCCCTATTTTTCAGCTCCTTTGTTCGAGTAGCACCCAAGTGGGTGCTTAAGTGCCCACAACCCGACGCATATGAGTTGGCTACCTTGTGTTTAGGCTCCACAACCCAACAATCTCTCACTTAGAGACTATAGCACCCAACACCAGTCCTGTTTATGTACCTCCATCTGAATCACCTTCATAGTGACTTACTGTGGTCACGTACGGTTGTGTGACTCACCCTCGGTCTACCTTCATAAAACCTAACTGAAGCCAAGCATAACTTCAGTTTCTCAATTGTCACCATCTTCGTCAACATATCTGCAGGATTTTCAACTGTATGTATATTTTTCAGAAATAATTATCCATCTTCCAGAAGAGAGCAAATGAAGTGATACCTCAGTTGGATATGTTTCGTGGCATAAAAGCAGCGATCTTAGCAAGATGAATCACACTCATACTATCAATGTGGAGTCTTTCAATCCCCTGTTCCTTGCCCAATTTTGCTATTAAACTCTGTAGTCAAATCATCTCCTTGCTAGCCGTTGTGCTCCCCAATCAGTGATAACAACATATTCGGCCTCCGTAGTTGAAAGTGCAAGAATCTTTCACAACCTAAAAACCCAACTCACCGTTGTGCTCCCCAATTATAAGATATATTCTGTTGTACTTCTACTGTCCACATCTGCTGCCATATCTGAATTTACAAACCCTATAGATTGATTCCTGCACTTCCATAGCTAAGTGCCCTGTTGCTGACTGTTCCCCTCAAATATCTGTGAATCCACCACTTTACCGTCTCTCAATGATGCCTGCCTGGATTGCCCATGTAACTGTTAACCACTCTCACTTTAGATGCAATATATGACCTTATACAAAGCAACACATACATCAATCTTCCGACTGTTGAAGTGTACAGATTTTTCTCCATCTGTGCTTGCTTTGCTTCAAAATTAGGCGATAGATTCTTAGATAGTTTGCAGTGTTTTCCTAACGGAGTGCTGACTGGTTTCGCCTCACTCATGTGGAACCTCTGTAAGATCTTCTCAACATACTCTATTTGAGACAACTTCAGTGTTTCTGTACTCCTGTCCCTACTTATTCTCATCCCGATGATTTTCTTGGTTGGACTTAAATATTTTATTTCGAACTCACTTGATAACTATTACTTCAAGTCCTTGATTTTCTTCATATCTGCCCCTGCAATCAGTATGTCATTCACATACAAAAAAAAAACAAAATAACAATTGTCGAAGTCTTTGATGAAGCAGCACTAGTCGGCCAGACACTCCATGTACCCTTTGTCTAAAATGAACCTGTCAAGCTCGCTGTATCACTGTCTCAGGATCTGCTTCAAGTTATAGAGACTCTTCTTCAATCTGCAGACCAAACCATTTTTGCTTGGAACCTTATAACCTTGTGGTTTCACCATATATAATTCCTCCTCCAGATCTTCATGTAAAAGAAGTTGTTTTTACATCCAACCGCTTCAGATGTAGATCTTCCACCATTACCAGACTTAGGACAACCCTGACAGTAGTCTATCTTTCACCACTGGGGAGAAAATCTCTGAGTAATCCACTCATTCCTTTTGCTGGAATCCCTTCAAAACAAGCCTTTCCTTGTAGCTCTTGCTACCGTTTGACTTCTCTTTCAGTCTGGAGACCCACTTGTTGTGCAATGTTTTTTTCCATTTGGTAGTACCATTAAATCCGGAGTCCGAACATAGCTCTGCGTGCAGAATTCCAATAATATGCCGCCATGTGGAGGTTATAGTGGGGTTATTGAAGTGAAACCCGCAGAGGTTATTGGGGTTATTGCGGGGGTTAATGCAGGAGATTATTGAAGTGGAACCGTGGAGGTTATTGGCGGGTTAGTGGGGGTTATCGCTGGTGTTGTTGATGTGGAACTCCAGAGGTTATTGATGGGTTATTGCAGCGGGTTATTGGATTGAAATCGCGGAGGTTATTGAGGGTTATTGAGGGGTTATTGCGGAGTTATTGGAGTTAATGCCCCAATAACCTCCCAATAACCCTCCCAATATAACTCACAGGGCGACATATTACAGGAGTCTACACGCAGAGTTTCATCCAGACTGGATGTAAAATTTTCTCCTTATATAGGGGCATCTATGAAAAGTCTGGGCTTGCCCATCACACCAAGAATAGCATGTGTGGTTGTGCTAGGGCATCATGATGGGTTCTGTTACTTCTATCACTAGAAAAAGTGTTTGTGGGTCTATATGCCTGCACGAAAATTACAACACAAGATTTTTCCCTTCTGTAGATAATCATTGATGCGTATTTTCTCCAATTCTCTATTCTCACTGTTCTGTGTTAGAAATGTACGAGTCTTCTCTCCATAATGCATAAAAAACTTGTATCGGTCACCTATATGAGAAAATTATTTGCGCAATTTCCCACCCTATGGACACGAGATGGGAGGTTACTTAAGCGCTGCGGTGAACTTGCTTTTTGGTGTTATACCATTGCGTGTGGGATGAGATGGGAGGTTACTTTGCTGGGGTGAACTTGCCTTTTCGTGTTATACCCATGGGTGTTGCTGCGACAATGACAATGAGGAGATTGAGGTCGGGCTTGTGAAATGACAAGAACTATGCAAGATTATTTTGGCTCTCTTTTTGAGAGAGAGTGATTGAGGGAGAGTATGAGAAAGAAAGGAAAAGTTAGAAGAGAGGAATCTGCTAGGGAAAGTGATATAAAGAGGGAGGGAGGGAGGGACGGAGGGAGAGGAGTCAGCTAGGGAAAGTGGTATAGGGAGGGAGGGAGGGGATATGAGTACGATTTAACTTAATTCTTGCTATATATCCAAAATGAAAACATCAAATCCTACAAACTCTTGAACTGCTACATTTCTTTGGTATGCTTTTCTCTTTATAATGAAATTAATCTGTTATTTTCTTGCCTATGCGAATTATTTTTTGATTTATTTATCTTTAAATTTGCAGAGTTCAAATCCTCCGTTCACATCAATTGAGTTAGATCATAGTGACTCTGGCAGAGAAGGGTGCACTGTTACTACTCTTACCGTAACTGCAGAGCCAAAAAATTGGCAAAGTGCCATTAAAGTTGCTGTTCAGGAGGTTTGTTGTCATGTTTCTTTTGAAATAAGTTGTATGCCATTCATCTGCTTAGATGCATTGTCTGCTTTCATTTCTGTTGTGTATAAGTTCTTTTATATGCCATAATTGACATATTCTACCGAATTTCTGTTATTTAGCTTTCAAGTTATATTGGCGAACAAATCTGCACGCCTTTAAGATTGGAGAAGCATAAGTAGCAGGGTTACACCAAAAATCCTTATTATCACAATTATTTAGAGAAATCCATTGAATAAATTTGGCACCAAGAGAGATATTTCTAACTTAGTAGGTTTTTATATCCATTTGCCAGGAATAAGAATATTGAATCTTCTGAGATTCAAAATGCCAAGGCCTCTAGGGTTTTTAAGATGACAAATGAATTTCCTTTTGTCATCAAATACAGCAATGATATTTTGGATAATGGATGGATTTCCAGTTAACTTTGTGAAAGTCCGTGCTTTTGCTATTACCATACCATAACTACTTTCTAATAGAGTGAATTTTTCAAATATCTGTTTGGGAAGCTTTGAATAGGAGAAGTAGAGTGTGTTAGAAGTAAGGTCAGAGTTGCCGTGAAGCTTTCCACCTTTAGTGAGATATGTAGCTTTTTTCAAGGCGGTAGCTTTTAATCTTTACTGGCATCAGGAATCCAAAGGACTTTTTGGATATTTTTCGAGCCAAGAATATAACTATGATATTTGAAAGATATATATTCCACTTTGGAACACAATAATTTTGCTATGATGTCACCTCTACTGGCTGACTTCCCGTTGAGAAGGCACAAATTTTTTAATCAAAGGATAATGTCTCCATTATAATGATAAGAGCTTCTCCCAATATCAACAGAAAAACAATGTGATGTTTTTTCCAAATATCATCTTTCTATTCTTTAAATATCACGTGGAGGCTATGTTTTCATGATGATAAAACTTCTTTTCCATAACGATTTATTTGAAAATTTTGTGTTGTTATGTTTCTTCTTAAAGTTTTCTGTTTTGTTTTATATTCATATACTCTTTAGCAAGTATTTATTTTCCAGTAATTTTTTGGTAATGGGAAAGTTCTATAAATTTACCATTGAGAGTGCCTATATTCCAAGATCCTATCCTAATATTAGTTTCATTAGTTTTATGGACTAACTTCTTTACCCGCATTCGCCCGTAATGTGGGAACCCTTGCTTATTTAACACTACACCCGGGCGCCGGTGTAGCGGCCCTTGCACACTTTTCACTGTATTCAGGCTATACAGCGCGTCGCTTCCAGGGGACGCCCTAGCACCTACACAATGATCAAAAGGATTCATGTCATGATTTTTTCGACAAGTTTTACGCTGGCTGTCGAACTACCTAACACAACCCTCAATATAGGCACTCTCAATGGTAAATTAATGGAATTAGTTGATATTATGATTCATAGGAAAATTAAGATCTTATGTATTCAAGAAACTAAGTGGGTTGGAGAAAAGACTAAGGAGATTGATAATTTAGGTTTTAAACTTTGGTATTCTAGTAAGAGTCGCACTAGAAATGGTGTAGGTGTAATTATAGATAAGAGTTTAAAAGATAATGTTGTAAAAATTAATAGAGTTGGTGATAGAATCATAGCCCTTAAGATTATCATTGATACTAAGATTTTTAATATTATAAGTGTTTATGCTCCTCAAGTAGGTTTAGATACAGAGTAAAGATAAATTTTGGAATGACTTAGAAGACTTAATACAAATGATACCTCTTGAAGAAAGAATTTTTATTGGAGGAGATTTAAATGGACATGTCGGTAGAGTGGTAGAAGATTTCAGAAATATTCATGGTGGCTACG